TCTATTTCCTTCCCCAGCTGCACAGAATTTTCATCAGCACCATTCGAGCAATGGTGTTTATAGCCCTTCTCCTTATTTATTAAATTCCTTTATGCTGTAATGGAGACAGGAAAAGAGTTAAGACAGAGATTCGTGTCCATCCTTCATTAGCTTCTCTTCCTCTCCCCCAGGTCATTAAAACAAACCAACAAAAATTTGTTGTGCTCTCCTTAACATTTGTGTGTGTGTGTGCCCAGTGGTAGTCACAGAGAGTGAGCCTGCAAGTGTGTGGCTGTCTCTCCATTTTCTGCAGCCCCCAAAAATCTCACTTTATTTTCTGGAACTTGCATTTTGCAAGCTTCTTACTGGTTGTGTTTACTCCAGTGACTACTCACATAACATTGTCTCCGTTAGATTTGGGACCAGTAGATCGCTCTGCTGTGAAATTTATTGATAAAAAAGTCATTAATTTCAATTTAGTCTGACTTTTATTGTTTTGTTGTTAGTTTAAGTGTGTGAGTAACACTCTTTCCAACTCTCTACATCCTTTAGCAGGAACCAGAATTCCCATTTTGGTTTTGCTGTAAAGATTAAGAGGTCAATCAAATAAATTAGACAACAATCTAAACTTATATTGCATGCATAGATGGAATTTATCATTTAAACATAGATAGTATTCTTAAAAGGAACTGTCACTGAATGCAGAGTCTCCCCAGCTTACAGTGCATCAGCCAATAGATCAGCAGTCTTTTGATTTGAGCAAAGAGTATTTTATTACTTGCAGCAAGTATGGTGATAGGCAGATAGTTCTCAAAGCATTGTCTCCCTTGGAGTTAGTGCAGGAAGCTTTTATGCAGTATGCGAGGGTTCAAGGGCAGGAAGCCTGCATATTCGTTAAGAAATTTATTCACATTTTATTACTTCAGCATCTAGGTTAAATGCACATGTTTTAGCATGTTATCATGCTACTGCATATGTCATGCATTCAAAACCTCACAGAGCATCCTGGTGCTGGAAGATTTTAGTATTAAAATGCACGAAGGTAACCGTAAGGCAGTTCGTAAAGTGTCTGTGCAGGTCTTCAGCTCTGGTCCAGCACATACTGGTTCTGTGTTAGTTTCTGCGTGTGCACGATGGTGTTACTCAACTCTTCTAATGGTTTTGGCGGTTCAGTTTTTCATGTGGTTCTATCGAGTTGGGCTCCTGTGAAACATTTCATGGAAACAACTTTTAATCATACTTTGTAGATTTCTTATGCCTCCATTGACAGAGCCACTTAAAGAGAATCCATTAAAACAGAAAACTCATGGTAAATGTTGGAGAAAAAAATTGCTTGGAATTTTACTTTAAAAATAAAACTTAGCTTATAAAAGTTATGTTTCATGTGTTGGTCAACAAGATTTATAATTACATGTTTTCTCTAATACTTAAGACAAATAAATTATGAGTCAAGGATTGAATTACTGATTACACTTTGTCCAAAGTTATTATGTAGTGTGATAAAATATTTCTTGTTTCATCTTTGCTTCAATTGCATATTCAGAAAGTTGTTATTTAGAAAAACTGTTCAAGATATTTTGATATCTGAACTGAACTCCTAGATCTTTTGACCCTAAAACTATTCTCTATTGACATGTCAACCATTTTCAAATTAACTTCTTCAACTATTAATCCCTTTTAATTCTCAAAAAGACTCCTTTGTTAATGCCTTGTTGATGATTTGAGCATTTGTTCAACAGCAGCTTCATCTACCTTATGAAATCTTGCATCTTTCTCGAGATCTGTTATTTAAAGCTGCTCTCATTCTCTATCACATTTGCAGTACAATGTGAGATGTTCTGTTCATCTAAAATTCAATAAAAGATTGACAGACAACATCCAGCTGGAATAAATTCTAATGTTAAGTGGTAAGTATTTAGTGGTAACTATTTAGTTGGAGACTCATTTTAAGACATTCATTTAGTAAATATGTGCCCAATAAAATATTTTTTATTCTTATACCTACAGACTTGGATAATGCATGGTTAGATAATGAGAACAGCTCTATATTTGGGAGCTGTAGCTTTTATTCAGTGGCAACAAAGTTGATGTTTTATTATATAGATTCAGAATATTTTCCTGGAAAAAGTGGCATGTATTGTGTTCTTTGTCTGATTATGTGTGTTTAGATATTTATGCATTTCATGCACACACACACACACACACACACACACACACACACAGTCTCTCAGGTTCTGCCCAATTGCCAAAATCATTAATTATCTAACCAGGCTCCTAAGTATCACATTTATAAAGTGGTAATGTATATATCAAGTAAAATATGATCCTTAGCTAGAATTTAGCTTTAATGAATTTCAACATTAATCCCACATGAGTCATCTGTCAGGAAGTGTGAGAATCAAAACTGCTCCTTTTGTTGCCTTTCACTCACTGTAAAAACAGAGCAAAGAACAGTCCCTTTGGCACATTCATCAAAACTGTGATCATCCTGATTAAAATGCAGATATACTGGGGCTTATCTTTTATCTTCAGTCCAACAGTGATATCTGATTTATTTGAATCTCATTAACACTCTGTTTCCATGTCTTTTTTACTACTGTTTGCTGCAGTTGCTGGCATCTAATTAAACAAGCACAACTGGAAATTTTGTGTGCACATTTGCTCTATATGTTTCTCTGATATCAATTGAAACCTGTCTTCCTACCAGTAATGTACTCCTCAGGCATAGCATGAGGGTGGAATGGTAATTTGATGTTGTTCTACACTGTGTTACTTTTGTGTGAGGAATCACAGATCTTATAAATTTTTAAATTGAACAATACCCTTGATCTGTGATTTGCTTCCATTTCTTTTAAAGAATTTGAGGCCTGAAATAAAGGCTTTGATGTCTAAAGGACAAGGACAAAGCCTGTATTTCACAGGATTTTTATCTGTTATTGGTCTGATTTCTGTGGTGATACACATTGTGTATTTTGTTTTTGTTGCACACATTTTCACTAATCTGTTTCCATATAGGTTTTTGCATTTTAGCAATTCAGATCCTGGGAAAAATCAGGTTTGCTGACTGTCCTCTTTTAAAGCACCATTTGCTTTATACATCACTTCAGGTTCTTCAAATGCTATACTAGAGCGCATTTTCTAAGCATTTCTCTTTTGCTCTTTCTGAAAAGAACCACTTAGCTCCCCAACCCCCACAAATAGAAAGTAGAAAAGGAAAACATAAATACATCAGAGAAATATGAAGTTATTTTAAGTCAAGATCAACTTATTCATTCTATATTAATTTTTACACTACAGAATTACAAATGGGAATCTTAGAGAGTTAATGCCTTTTATATCAGCCTCATGTCTATGAGTGTTTGGTTCAGTGCCATGAACAGCAAGGAGTGTATCATGTACTTTTGTAATTGTGTGCCCCTGTTCATAGTAACCAAAATAATTGAATTTAAGCCTTAGTAATTGTGAAACCAATTTGGATATAATCATATTTCAATTATTGTGATGTTACAACTCCATATTATACTAGCTGATACTTCTAGAGGCAACACTATGAACAAAAGGAGAAAATTTGCATTAAATATCTTTGAAAGATTAAAAAGGGGAAAGCAATTATTTGCTTTATGCTGGAAAATGCATATCACATATGCATGTATTTGGCATATACCAATTGTTGGCAACCATTATCCTACTCTGTTATCTCAGTGATAATAAATTATTCTCTTCCTACTTTTTTGCTCATAGATATCATGTGTATATTTCTGATCTTGTGCTACTGTAAGAACTATTTAATTAATTAATTACACTCTGCAGGTGAAGACCTAATAACATTTTATGGTAATGGGGCGCCTGGCTGGCTCAGTCGGTTAAGCATCCAACTTCGGCTCAGGTCATGATCTTACAGTTCGTGGGTTGGAGCCCCGTGACAGCTCAGAGCCTGGAGCCTGTCCTCAGATTCTGTACCTTACCTCTCTCTCTGACCCTCCCCTGCTCATGCTGTCTCTCTCTCTCTCTCAAAAAAAAAAAAAAAAAAACAATAAAAAACACATTTGATGGTAATAAGTAGAGAATAACCATTCAAATATATTATTTGTGTGGCTATAAGTTGCTGTCAACAGTTGGGAGGCAAGATCGTAGGATGAATTATGCTTGTTTTGTGGTAGAATAGTACTTCTAGGATTTTGCTACATAAATAATAGCATGAGTAAATAAATACATTCTCTATATATTACCTATTTATCATTTGTTAAAACGTATGTTATAATAGCAAAATATTGACAATTTAAATGACCATGATAATTGAATCTTTAAATATAGTAGAGGAATAAAATTGAATACTAAGCAGCATTTCCAAAAATTTTAAGGCAGATTTATATGTACAGATCTAGGAATCTGTTCATATTTTTGTAAATGAAAATTAGGTTGATGAATGTTATATGCTATATTAATCCATTATATAAATAGATTATGTACAATACATTGACGTGTATTAAGAGAGGTACATGTACATGTTTATAGAGAGAGGTATATTTCTATAACTTGGGTGAAGGAATACACCAAGATGCTAATAAAGGTACCTATGGGGTAAATACTTAAATAACATAGAAATGTCCTTTTCCTAACTTGTATAATTAAAATGGAAAATGGAGGATTTTAGATAAAAACTAGTTAATAGTTTAGTCCTTTACAAATATATTATGCAATCCTCACAAGAAGACTTTCTAGTTATGCTTTCTTGGAGTTAGGCAGTGTTACAAAAGTCTTAGCCCTGCATGTGAATGTCATCGATTTAATGTTGGTGATTGACAAAATAAATACCTCACACATCTTCCTTTGAAATTCTGAATCAATTGAGAACTCAGTGGCTTAAATAGATAGATCATTAGTCACCCACCCATCTCCCCTTTCTATCACCATCTGACAAATCTAGACTAAGAAGAGGATGTTATTTGATGAGATCATTTAAAGACCCATGTTTCTTCTTCTATATTATTGTTCTGTTCTCCCCATAGTCATATGTCTTCAACAAAGTCAGAATTGGATGACTGCATATGTGGAAGAAAGAGAGAGTCCAAGGAAACAATTTCCTATAGGTAGGGGAGATCCTTAAGTGAGTGCATATTTTATTTCTGCTCTCATTCCATTGGCAATAACTTAGTCACACAATCATACCTAGACAGAGGAAGTGTGTGTGTGTGTGTGTGTGTGTGTGTGTATCCTTTCTCGAGACCAGCCCCTAGACTTCTATGTAATGTGCTTCACGTATATATTTAAATGTAATCTTGAAATATGCATTATTTGTGTTAAAAACTCCTTCAGTGTATGAAAGTGGATGGCTGTGCACTTTAATTAAATGCTAACTACCACAGCGTGAAAAAGTGTCTTCTGTTCATTAGTAAAATAAAGTTACAAATTTTAGTAAATGAAAATTTTTTCTTCCATCTTTATGGGACATAACAGTGAAATATAAAACACACCAGTATCTTATATTTTAATAGGTTCACTTCTTTCAAGGTTCAATTAATGCTGTGATTAATTCGAATCTTCAATCAAAATATCAGTTATACAAATCTACACAAGTACCCCAACAGTGTTGCTTAGCCAGACATGCTGTGAATGTAACTATAATGTAGCACAGTTTGTTATAAAATTACTCTAATGTTCTGGAAAAAGAAATAAAATCAAGACTCTAGCCTTTTCTTCTTAATTTTAAAAAAACATCATCTTAGTTTATAAGAATATGTGTATATTTTCATCTGTACCAGGAAGGAGTACAGTCTAAGTTTTATGGATACTAATATTTCTTAAATAAAACAAGTATTTTCTACAAGATTAACATAATTCTTTTTGAAATCTATCTACTGTTTTAATGCTTCAATTTTTTAATTTCATGTACGTAATTACTTTTAACAAGGACTATCTAATTTTGGTCATTTCCTAGTGATGCATCAGTGAGCATAAATTGCTCTTCAATTGTGTCAGTCTTCATCTCTGAGTCAATGACCCATAGAACCACTTATACCACAAATGTGAAATGATTCTGTTAACACAGAACAGTTTTCTGGTTTCTCTAATCATTAAAAAAAAAGCATTTAATATAAAATGTTTTTCATTCTACTCCAGGAACCTATCAAACGAAGCTATATCTTTATTTCAGTGCTATATTTCTTATTCAGTGCCTTTTTTTTTTTTTTTTTATTGCTGTCTACACTGTCTAATCTAGTCTGGTCACATCTCAATTATTTGTCATTATGTTTGTATCCTGGTAAATATTCTCAAGCTGCTTATTCAGATCACTGTTTAGTTAACAAGTACCATTGGGCCTTTTTCATTCTCAATCTTAGTTATAGTTATTATTGAAGATACTGCAGTTTAGTGGTTATATCACATTCATACAAGTTTGAAATTCAAATTCCAGCTTTGCTGGTTTCTGGATATATACCTCTAGTTCAGTTACTTAAAATGAGACTTGTTACTTCATGTGGCTATTACTACTATTTAAGAGATTCTATGATTCTAAGTGAGATAAGGTACCTTAAACACTTAGGACTGGTAGATAATCATGGTTGCTATTACTATCTGATATGTTTTCCATCTCACTAATCCTCATATTTCATTTTCTGTGAAATATATGATACTAGCTCTCACCCTCCTTCCCTGATTACTTCTTCTTAGTCTCTTTGGTTGTTATTTCTTTCTTCCATTTCTTTTATTTACATATTATCAGAGTTTTTGCTTGTCCACAGGCTCCCCTGGGTGATCTTATCCTCTTTGTTTTCTATGTACTGCATGCTTATTTTTCCCCAAAATTCATATGTTGAAACCCCTAGTCCCCAAATGGTGGTATTTGGAGAGAAAGCCTTTGGGAGGTAAATCAGGCATGAGGTTAGTGTTCTCATGTTGGGATTAGTACCCTTATAAAACAAGACTTGACAGTTTGCTCCCTCTCTCTGCTTTTTCCTTTGTGAAAATATAGTGAGAAGATGGCCTTGTGCAAACCACAAAGAAGCCTCTCACCAGACACCATTGTCTGACATCACCTTGATCTTGGACTTATAGCTTCCAGAACTGTAAGAAATAAATATTTGTTGTTTAAACCACTCAATCTGTGGTACTCTGTTATAGCATCCTAAACTGACTGTCTGTCTTGGTATAAAATATCACTTCTTAATTCTAATCATTTCTGGAATATAAATATCTCAGCACACCTACTCTTTTCAGATCACCTCATAAATTTCATATTTCCTTCATAATATTTCTAAATATCTTTCTGTAACTCACTTTACACATGCTTCAGTCTGAATTAATCTAGTTTCCCAAATCTGTCTAATTATCTGTGAATTTCCAGTTAATGCTACTTCCACACTCAGAGGCACTCTCATTTTTTTTTTTTAATGTTTTATTTATTTCTAGGAGAGAGAGAGAGACAGCGTGAGCAGGGGAGGGTCAGAGAGAGAGGGAGTCACAGACTGAAACAGGCTCCAGGCTCTGAGCTGGCAGTCAGCACAGAGCCCGACGCGGGGCTCGAACCCACGAACCGCGAGATCATGACCCAAGCGAAAGTCGGACGCTTAACCGACTAAGCCACCCAGGCGCCCCGAGGCACTCTCATTTTTGAATACTTTGTAATCTTCTTCCAATTAATCATTTGCCTAACAATGTGAATTCTACCTTCAGTATAACTGCATTGACACTTATTACTTCCACTCTGTCTCACTGTATTTCAGGCCCTCATATTGTCTTCTAAATTTCAGCATCTCCTACATCTTTTTGGTATTGATGTGAGATTAAATCTCTCCAAATTCCAAAAGTCCACTGGGCTCCCAATATTATTTAACATGCAAGCATAGTCATGATTTAGTCCTACCTATCTTATCGATAAATGACTCTCAATATTAATAACTTGAAATAGATTAAAAGCAGAAAAAATAAGTTGTTTCAGATGAAAGGGAGAGAGTGATGAATTGTCTAAAAAATCCTTTATATGTAGATCTTGTGGTTGCTTTACTTGGATAAGAAAAGTCATATTTCCTGTAAGTCAATTTCTTACATATAGTACCTGAGAATGTATACACTTCTTTCAGGAAGTGATATCCAGGTATATACTATTTAAAAAAAAAAGAGGGGCACCTGGGTGGCTCAGTCAGTTAAGCATCTGATTTCAGCTCAGGTCATGATCTCACAGTTCATGGGTTTGAGCCCCGCGTCAGGCTCTGTGCTGACAGCTACCTCAGAGCCTGGAGCCTGCTTCAAATTCTGTGTCTCCCTCTCTCTCTGACCCTCCCCTGCTCACTTTCTTGCTCTCTCTCTCAGAAATAAATAAAAAACATTTACAAAAAAAGAAAGAAAACTATAGAAATCATAGGTGTATCCTCCTTGAAACAGACTTGTTAAATGATCAAAGGTGTTGTCAATCTCTAAAATTATGATATTCCATTCCCTGCAAGGAAGTTAATTAGAACATACGTGAATGTTATTAAAAGGATCAGTAAGATACTTGACTTAAGAATTTGTAGACTTTTTGTTTGATTAAGGAATCACCAAAATTTTATTCATATGGATAGAATCTAAGAATCCTATGGCCAGTCATGCTTTGATTTAAAATGTGAATTTTAGTAGTGCCTGGGTGGCTCAGTCACTTAGGCATCCAACTCTAGCTCAGGTCATGATCTCACAGTTTCTGAGTTTAAGCCCCACATTGGACTCTGTGTTGACAGCTCCAAGTCTAGAGTCTACTTCAGATTCTGTGTCTCCCTCTCTCTCTGTCCTTCTCCCACTTGCTCTCTCTCTTTCAAAAATAAATTTTAAAAAATTAGGTAAAACATAATATAAAATGTCAATTTTAAAGTTACTAATTGTCATTTTGAGGATTGAAAGATTTGGCTAAAGGAAATAAACGGAACTATAAATATTTCTGTGTGATGTTGTCTATATATCTATAAGTCATCCACTATTCATTGTGAATATTGTTGATAAATAGTGCAGGTACAGGTAGGTACAGAAGATGAGAACTGATAGATCTAGATATAAATATGGTTTCATCTTTCTTATTTCATGGATCAAAATATTCATGAATGTTGAGAATAAAGGAGAGACTATATTAAAGACCAAACCTTGAAAATGAAAAGAACAAAATGAAGATTTTGTAAAAACCTCTTATTAATGTATAAACTCTATGGCAGGGCTGATACCTTAAATTTTGTTGGCCAGCACCTTGGGTTTCAGCTGTCATCTTATTTATCAGCTAACACTCTGGCAGAGACTAGCAGCTGAGTGCAGCCTGCCTTGGGAACCTAGGAGCAAAAAGATGAGCTGTCTGTATAGAGCCTGCTTTTAAACAAACAGGCATAAGCAATGGAAAGTAGAAGGCCTCAAGGTAACCCCCTGGCTGGATACCGACCAAACCATCAGGTGACAACTAACAAAAGGGCTTTACAAGCAGGCAGAAAAAAAAAAAAAAAAAAAAAAAAAAAAAAAAAAAAAAAAAAAAAAAAAAAAAAAAAAAAAAAAAAAAAAAAAAAAAAAAAAAAAAAAAAAAAAAAAAAAAAAAAAAAAAAAAAAAAGGAAAATTCCATATCCTGCTCACTTGCAGTGGATTTAGTAAACTTTTATCAACTTTGTTCTGTTTTATCATTGCCAGACATTTAGAGCCCCCCCCCCCAATTGTATCGAGAGAAGCCCGATTTAGATACCATAGTTTGAGAGGCAAATACCAATGAGTCTGGAGAGAAGAGATGCCAAAGATTATATAGCCTACTGCATCATTTGCTTATGGTCAGTTCATTAACTAAAATGCCTTGCTCTCTTAACAGTAAAAACTAGGGTTGCCTGGGTGGCTCAGTCGGTTATGTGACCAACTCTTGATTTCAGCTCAGGTCATGATCTCATGATTGATAGCAAACCTCAGGTCTGGCTCCGCACTGGACATGGAGCCTGCTTGATCCTCTCTCTCCCTCCATGAGCATGAGTGAACTCTCTCAAAAATAAGTAGATAGATAGATACTATTCCTGAACTATCTGAAGTATGGCAAGCAGCAGAAAAGTGTTTTGTGTTCTTACCCCCACCCCCACCCCCTTTCACCACCTTCTTCTCACCCTTCAGGGAATGGTTATCTTTGGTAAGACAGTGATTTCTAACTATTCATGACAGTTTGCTATGAGAAAAAGGCTTTATTAACAAAAGAAAAACTTTGTTGATGTCTTGGTGTCATGAAATTTAAAGCTTATGAATCACTTCTTTTACCATAAGGGATCCAAAAATACTCTTCAGGTGGAAGTCATAAAAATATATATATCACCATGAATTTGAAGATAACACAGACAACTACCAGGATAGAGCAGGAACTGGGGAGGAAGTAGGAGTCAAAAAAAGGAACAAAAGAAATTTTTTTATTAAAATTATAGTAGAGGGGCACCTGGGTGACTCAGTCGGTTGAGCGTCTAACTTAGGCTCAGGTCATGATCTCACGGTTAGTGGGTTTGAGGCCTGGAGTCGGGATCTGTGCTGACAGTTAGCTCAGCCTGGAACCTGTTTCAGATTCTGTTTCTTCCTCTCTCTCTGACCCTGCCCTGCTCATGGTCTCTCTCTCTCGTTCTCAGAAATAAATAAAACATTTAAAAAATTAAAAATAAAATAAAAAATAAAAAATAAAATAAAATTATAGTAAAACAAGGGGAGCCTGGGTAGCTCAGTTTGTTAAGCATAGGACTTCACCTCAGGTCATCTCAATGTGAGTTTGAGCCCTGCATCAGACTCTCTGCTGTTGGCACAGAACCTGTTTTTGATTCTCTGTCCCTGCCCCCTGTACAACCCGCACTCACTCTCTCTCTCAAAAGTAAATAAGCACTTTTAAAAATGGTTTTACAACAAAAGGAACAAGACGAAAGAGAAAGGACTGCTTGATATCCATCCAGATGGAGCTCTGTATGAATTTAAGTGTGTGGGGGTTTGGAGGGAGTTTTTGTTTTGTTTTGTTTTGTTTTTTTACAAATAGTTTATTGTCAAGTTGATTTCCATATAACACCCACTGCTCATCCCCACAAGTGCCCTCCTCCATGCCCATCTCCCCCATCTCCCCCCACACCCATCAGTCTTCAGTTTGTTCTCAGCATTCAAGAGTCTCTCATGGTTTGCCTCTCTCCCTTTCCCCCACCATTTCCGCCCTTCTTCTCCCCCTTGTTCCTCCGTCAAGTTCCTCCTAATCCTCCTATACGTGCAAACATATGATATTTGTCCTTTTCTGCCTGACTTATTTCGCTCAGCATAACCCCCTCAAGGTCCATCCATGTTGCTACACATGGCCAGATTTCATTGTTTCTCATTGCCATGTAGTATTCCATGGTATAGATTTTTGATATTAACCCTCTATCTGATATGTCATTTGGAGGAGGGACTGTTTTTAAATACTTGGTCCTATCTTCTGAAATCTGCTTCTCTATTTCTAAAAGTGAAATAAGATTATTTTACTAAATAAATGCAACAAATTTTTGAAATGTGTGGGGAATATAACTTCACTATCATATATGTAGACCTTTGTTTTACTTTCTCATATATATATTTTGCCATTAAATGTTTGTTTTGAGATATCCCTCTTCCCGTTAATGTCCAAGAAGCCATCAATGTTTTGATTTCTTTCAACATGTGTTAGTTTTGGTAGTTTTAGAACTTCATATAAGTAGAACTATACTATATGTACACTTTTGTGTTTGGCTTTTTTACCTTAAGTGTTTACAAAAAAACTGAGGTTTATCTGTCAGTTGTGTTGCATCAATATTGATTTTTAAAATGTTTTAAATGTTTTTTCATTTTTGAGAGAGTGAGGACAGAGCACTAGTGGAGGAGAGACAGAGAGATATGGGGACACAGAATCCAAAGCAATCTCTAGGCCTGTTAGCACAGAGCCCAGTGCAGGGCTTCAACCCATGAACTGTGGGATCATGACTTGAGCCCAAGTTGGACACTTAAGCAACTGAGCCAGCCAGGCACTCCAGTATTGTGTTGTTTTTGATGCTGAGTAGTACCTCTTCCTATGAATAAACCACAGTTTATCTATACTCCTGCTCATGGGTG